TCCGGCGATTCGCCGGCCATTTTCCGGCGAGTCTCCAGGGCGATTTTTTTTCGCTCCCCTCGCGTCCCTCACCCTTCCTTCGAGTCCTAGCTACGGTCCTCCTTGTGTTTCCAGGTGTGTTTCCTGTTCATTTCTAGTTTATGGAAAATCGGACTGTAGGTTTTAGGACCGAGAACTGTGTTGCCTGCCTGATTTAGAGTAGGGTGAGGGATGACTTGAGCTTGCATGGCTGTGTATGTGATAGATGTGCTGTCCGCGTGATTATTGTAGTTCATTTTGTGATCCTGCCTTGAATTCCGGTTGAGTTGTTTGCCATTCAACCGGCTGTGCTTAAATTGTTAGCCTAGGTGAGCTCGAGTGTGGGGAATGTGCTGACCCCATGCCGTTGGTCCTGACAGTCTATTTTCTTGGCTCCACCTATGGTGTTTTGATTTTGCAGGGCCATGTCGCAGGACCATCCCTTCGTGCAGGATCTGCGCCTGCACGCGGAGTATGCGGATCAGTTCCGCAAGGTGATCCGGGGGAAACTGGAGCGTCACCACCACCTCGAGTGGGCGGTGTTTGAGCAGCTCCACTGTTTGCAGGAGCTCAGCGCCGCTATCAGTCACCCCGACTGGCGGACGTTGCTGACCATCGACGAGCCTACCTTCACGGAGCTGGTGTGGGAGTTCTACACCACCTATCGCTATGACCGCTCGATGGCCCGGGACGAGTATGCAGTAACGTTCCGGCTGGGTGGCGATCACAGGGAGCTGACCATCGACGGGTTGGCCCACGCTCTGGGTATCGATTACCACCCCTTCGATGCCCATGAGATCGAGGTTGCCCACCCGACCGACTGGAACCAGACTGCTTTCTACCGCACGATAGCCAGGCGCGCCCATGGCTACGACTACTTCGATGCTGGCCAGACCTCCGTCAGCACCCTCAAGCCGCAGTGGCACATCCTGAACTTGCTGATCACCCGGTCCATCGTCCCCAACGCCACCGGTTCGCATAAGATCCCGAAGCGGGTGTTGTATGCCATGTACTCGATGGGGGACCCGGCCCACATGCTTCACCTGGGCTCCTTCGTGGCCCTCACTTTCCACCGGATCCGCGGGCATCCTACCCACCTCTTCTGTGGTCCCCTGATCACACGGTTGGCGAGGCATTTCGACATCAGCTTTCAGGGGCTTCACAATGCGACCGTGCTGGGCGGCTCCGCACCCCTCAGCCGGGAGGTGCTCCACAACGCGCGTCTCCTGGCCACTGATGACATCCGCACCTGGGTGGATGGACTATCTATGCCCCCCGCGGGGGTGATTGATCTGGACTCGGACGAGGAGGATGCGGACTACTCGGACGAGGAGGAGGTAGATGAGGATGCTGATGATGATGACGACGGCGCTATGGATGCCGATGAGCCGGAGCCCCCGCTCTCCCCGCTTGGGGATCTTCAGCCTCGACGGAGACCAGTGCGAGGTGAGTCCTCCTCTGGTCCTTCTAGTCCGTCGATGGACTTCTTCACGGAGCAGTTCCAGCAGATGGGGCTCCAGTTCCAGCAGCTCGGTCTTCAGAACCAACAGCTCATGGACCATCAGGTCCAGTTTTACCAGCAGTATTCGGCCCACCAGGCCGAGTACCGGTCCAGGATGACGGGCGTTGATGAGCGCCTTGGCCGATTGGAGACCCACATGGGACACACTACTGCTCTCATCGAGCGGGAGAGAGACCGAGGCCGCCGTCTGATGGAGTATTCCGAGCATCTGCTCCAAGCTTGCCACCCCCCAGCGGAGCACCACTGGACCACCCGGTGGGAGCATTCACCGCCACGGCAGCCACCGGATGATGGCGTCGACGACCTTATGGACCAGATTGATTTCTCCGGTCTCGGAGGGCCCTAGGGGCATGTTTTTAGAGTTTTTTATCTGTGTCAGCATGCAAACTGTCTGTTTTGTGTCGGTTTTTGTTTCTTTTTCTTTTCATTTTGGATGCTGTACTATTGGGCTGACCGTTGGACCTAACGTTTGTGTTTGAGCTTTTTGGTCTCTTTTAGCTCTGCCTGTGTTTCCGACTGGTCCTCTGTCCAGTCCGTCCCATGCCGACTATCCATTTCCAGTGTCCTGCAGTCTGTGCATACCGGTAACATCGTTCCCCTTTCCTTCCCTCTTCTCCATTGAGGGCAATGTCGATCTTAAGTGTGGGGGGGATGTTTATCTTTTGACTGCATTAGCTCTGTTTGTGTGCTTGGAGCCTAGTCCACTGTCCAAATTTTGAAAATTTGAGGGCTCCAAGTACGTGTTCCTTGCAATTGCCTGCTCAGTATGCTTTGAATTGACAGTCTCTGTAGTGATTTGCAACCTAGGGATGTAGTGTAGCACTATGGAGGATGTTGATGCATTTAAGAAGTCTCATTTCTTCTTCATATTGTGTTGGTTGATTGAGTGAATTAGTGATCTTAGGACCCTTGAATGGTGTGGTATTGTGGACTCTCTGCCTGTCATGGACTCTTGTATCATGTTCTGAATGTAACAGGTGCTCGAAATGTGCTTTAAAATAACGTCTCCCGTGCGAATAGGGCGAAAGTGTGTAAGGGGAGACGGGAATCCGTTCCCAATTTCCACCTACTACCTCCAGCCCCCTTACATGTCTTTCCCCCGCACGAGGCTCGAGACACCCGCTCCTGGCATGGCCGGTAAGAGTCGGGCTTCCGCAAAACCTTTGCTAGGTGGGAGCCCTCGTTTTCTGCAGAAACAGGTTGGAACCCGTGGAAAAAAATAGAAAAACAGAAAAACAAGCAAAAAGAAGAAAGAAAAGGGTTCCAACCATGTTCACAAAGAAAATCGAGCACCTTGAATTAATGTGAGTCCGTGATCTTTTGTTTGTGAGAGTCTCTTCATCCACGATTCATTTGTCCTCTGTTCACTATTTGCCTTGATGCCGATTCGAGACTAGCGTTCTCGCCGAAGAGGCTATGAGATGACTTGTGCGTCGGTTGACCTCGTAAGCTGCTAAATGATCTAGGACGTCTGATACCTACGATCGAGGTTGTTTGTTGCTATAGAGGTCTGGAGAGTTGCATTGGTTTGAGTTGGGTTTGGTTGGGGACAAGCAAACGGTTAAGTGTGGGGGAGTTTGATAGATCGATAATTGTACATGTTTACACCCCTATTTTGAAGCCGTTTGTGATGAGGAATCTCGTGTTTTAAGCCGATTTCATGCTGGGTTGTGTGTTTATGTCATATTTTAGGTCCTGGCGTTGGAATCGAGGCGAAGGAACGAGTTCCGGCTCGAAAGGAGCGAAGATGGGATAAAGGATGCTGCTGGACCAAAATACCCGGTCAAAGGAAGAAATACCCGGCCGGGTATATTCTGGCCTCGACCGGGTATTTTTCCCTTCGGGCACCCGTGAGAAACAGAAGGGGGCCCGGGCGATGGCCTTAAATCCCCGGTCGGGGATTTTGATGTTGGACCGGGGATTTTCCCGAAAGTGGAACGACGCGTTTTATGAAATACCCGGTCGAACCATGAAATACCCGACCGGGTATTTCGACCGGGTATCGCGAGGGCAGCTGATAAAAGAGGAAGAAGGCCAATTTTCAAGGGGTTCCGAGTTTTTGAGAGAGAAATCGATTCCTAGAGAGAGAAAGCGACGAAATAGAGTTCCCAAGCGCCATAGATCGATCTTCAACACCATTGGAGCCCGTCTTGAGCTTGGAGAAGTGCGATTAAACGTCCAGGAGCAGGAATCCAACTTCACAGTATGATTTCCGCGTCTGAATCTGCTTTTGCTTCTTTCTCTATGGAGTAGTTTCCCCATTCATCTGGGTATGGGGAACCCTAGATTTGTATGCTAGGTCTGATTGTATGAACCCAAGTACAGAGTTTGTGAATTGATTATATTCGATTGAGGTTTGAATGATTGAATGACTTGAATCCTGATCAAATTCATGTTGTTTCTGCTTTGACCTGGAATGAGAATATCTGCCTAGGTTGATAGAGTACTCTTAATCGAAGGTGGCAAATTGGTGACTTTAGTCGAGGAGCCAATTCGCTATTCTGTACCGAAGTTAATTCGGTAGTGGAGGTTTGGTTCATTAGGGCCTCAATCTGTTTACTCCGGTGGAGGTTAGTCGCCCGCTAGAGACTCAGATTGAGAGGGTCTGGAGACCTTTAGTCGAGACTTCAGGCTAATTAAGAACCTTCCGCAGTATAACTTTCATAAAAACTGAACTTGGTAAATTGCAATCCGACTTAACTGCAGTCTAGGGGGATCCATATCCGGGTGACCTCTCTTGACTTGACAACAAACCGTTTACTTGCTTTGTGTTTTGTTTGCTTGAGTTGCACTAAAAGTTCACCGCTAAATAACAAGAATTCACCGAGTAGTCATCACATCTAGGACCCGGGTTGACAATAAAACCCAAACCCGCTATACTACGCTTTAGGAAGTGGTTGCACTTGGCCATTTTCTAGAGTGACAGTAGGAGCGAGTCACACATTCTTAGGAGTCACGCAATGCATCTACCTTTCTACCAGAAAAAAAGAGTTTATACTTTATACCCTTCCCTTGGCCCGATCCATTCTCTTATCCTCTAACTTCTTCCACCCAAAATGAGTGAGGATGGAGCAAGGTTGTCAAACCGGTTTATACCGTTGTGCCGGTTAGGCAAGTGGAATGGTACGACCGGTGGTATAACCAGTTTGTGCCGGTTCATGCCGGTTTAAAAAAATGTGAAAACAATTAATATCCAATGTATCTAATCATATATAAAACATATTTGTGGACAATTTAGTTACAATCCAACAAATATCATCAACTTTAACTATTACATTCATAAAATGAATAATAAATTAATTTTTTTATTCATTTAATTTATTAAAATGATGTCATTTTACTTAGAATGCGTAAGTCGATCATACCGGTCATACCGGTGGTGTCATACCGGTTTCATGACCGGCACAGGTTGAACCAGGTTCAACCGGGTGGCATGCCACCGGCATGACAACCATGGGATGGAGCTTTCAAAATTCCTACCGTTGATGCTATTTCACGTGCTCCTCACGTGACCGAACCCCCTGCCTCTCCCACTCGGAGACATTTGAATTCGGACCTAAAGCGCCTTTTTTGTTTTTGTCAAAAACAAAAACATTTCAATCGATTCAAATTCAATTTATTTATCGTTTCTCACCCAAAGCCTTTCTCCCTCCGTCAGATGTTTCAAAAACCACGCAGCCTCTCCCCGTCCTCGTCGTTCCAACAACACATAGCCGCCGCCTTCTCCTCCATCTCCGGCAGGTAGGGTTTCTCCTTAATCATGGATCTGATACTCTTCAAAGTTTCCTGCGCCGGGAAGAGTTGGCCCATCGCATTCCGTCTCCCTTCCTTTTACATTCGGAAAATCCGAACGTCTTTTTCTTCCAATTGAATTTAGTTGGAGCGACGGGTTTCCGGCTTCTGTCTCCTGACGGTTTCGTCATTTTCTGTACCGTTTTAGGGTTTTCTGATTTGCGACTTGGGAAAAACGGATCTACGGCGGAGAAATGGATAGCAGCGCGGAATGCGTGAAAGTTGCGGTGAATATTCGGCCTCTCATCACCCCCGAGCTTCTGAATGGATGTACTGACTGCATCACCCTCGTTCCTGGAGAACCCCAGGTATATCGCCTGCCACTCTTCTCAAATTAGCTGATTGACCGTTTTTTTTTTGGGTACAATGCTAATTGATTGTACATGCATTGGTGCTAAACCCCCTTTTCCCCGCCTGCCGGCTCTGTTCCATTTAAGAGGGTTATCGTTGACTTCTTGGGTTTTGAATTCTGTTGGCCAATTAGGTGCAAATAGGAACACATTCTTTTACATACGACTATGTATATGGTACTTCGGGTTCGCCGTCGGTAGCAATCTACGATGACTGCGTAGATCCTTTGGTCGATGCGCTGTTCCGTGGTTATAATGCAACAGTTCTCGCGTACGGCCAGGTTTGGATCTGCTCTCTTTTTCAATTTCATCTGCATTTGTCTTTTGGGTTTCTGGGTAAGCTCATTCTGAGGTTGACCTTTATTGTATTTCTTATGTTCTATTAGACGGGTTCTGGAAAGACTTATACCATGGGCACTAATTATTCTGGAGAAGGATCTAACGATGGTATTATACCAAAGGTTATGGATACCATCTTTCGGAGAGTTGAGTCGGTCAAAGAGTCCACAGAATTCTTAATCAGAGTGTCATTTATTGAGGTAAAGGTCTTGACATTTTGATCATGTTTTCTTGTTTTCTGGGTTGATTTTTCAGTTAATCTTTACGTTTCGGTTTCTGGTTTGATATGATAGATATTCAAAGAAGAGGTATTTGATCTACTAGACTCGAATTTGACAATATCCAAAGGAGAAGGGCATGTTGGAAAGGCTATTGTGCCTCCTAGAGTTCCCATCCAAATTAGGGAAACTGTGAATGGAGGGATAACACTTGCTGGTGTCACTGAAGCAGAAGTTCGGTGTAAAGAGGAAATGGCATCTTACCTCTCCAAGGGTTCTTTCTCGCGTGCTACTGGCAGCACTAACATGAACAATCAATCAAGGTGCATCTTTCATCTTTATTTCTGTTTTTTTTTTTGTATATAAACTTGTGATGGGAAAGAGGCAAGGCAGTTGTAGATTTGTGGAAGTTTAATCTCAATTGACTAAGTGATTAGTAATATAATCTCTTATTGTCATGTTGGAAATTATATTTTTGTATGTTGCACAACATGCTCAGGTTCCAAGCATTTGTTCTTTCACTATGTTTTATATAGTGATGCTAATTACTGATATTTACCTCTTGAACTTTCAGTCGCTCCCATGCTATATTTACAATTTCCATGGAGCAGAAGAAAATTACAATGTGTTCGAGTGGAGGAAATGAAGATGACATGGGTGACGACATATTGCGTGCAAAACTACACCTTGTAGATCTTGCTGGCTCTGAACGAGCAAAGCGAACGGGTGCTGATGGCATGCGTTTCAAAGAAGGTAATGCGGACTGAAATGTCCACTGAAAAGAACTACGCTTGTGATGATATTGTTGTTAACAAAGCAGGAACATGAAACGTTGATGATTTAATCAAATTGCTATTTTATTGTTCTTTAATTCCATCCTAGAGCAGTTCCACTTAGTTCACTTATTGCAGGTATTCATATCAATAAGGGCTTGCTGGCTCTTGGCAACGTTATCAGTGCTTTGGGCGACGAGAAGAAGCGAAAAGAGGGGGGTCACGTTCCATACCGTGATAGCAAGCTGACTCGCTTGCTGCAGGCATGAACTTGTCCTTATTTAACTCATGCACGTTTTATAACATAACATTGACATGACAACAAAATTGCTCAGCGTTTGCTAGTGAATGTTCTGTTTTGCTTATTAGTTTTGTTGGAAATTCTACTTTCAGGATTCACTAGGAGGGAACAGCAAAACAGTGATGATTGGTATGTTGTTTATTATTATAAACTAGATTTTTATGCTTTCGAGTTTATTGGCTTCATGTTGGTCCCTGATCCATATTTGACTTGCCGTTGTAAATTTTTCATGCATGATCTTAGCATGTGTAAGTCCTGCTGATACCAATGCAGAGGAGACGTTGAATACATTGAAATATGCAAATCGTGCTCGTAATATTCAGAACAAAGCTGTTGTAAGCATCCGTTATTGTGCATCTCTCATTTTTGTTAGTTGCAATGCTTTGCAGTTCTTTAATAAGAGTTTCCACTCCTCTGATTTTAGATCAATCGGGACCCTAATGCCATTCAACTTCAAAGGATGAGGAGCCAGATTGAACAGTTGCAGGCTGAACTATGTATTTATAGGGGCGATTCAAATGCACCATTTGATGAAAATCAGGTTTGTTTTGAAGTGTGGATACTGTTGGGGCTGACACCTTAATAAGAAAATGTAGTTGCATAATATTTCTTCTCTCTTCAGATTCTCAAACACAAGGTATCATTACTTGAAGCAAGCAACGCTGAGCTACAAAAAGAACTTCAACAAACACAAGTGACTTTTGAGCATCTGAATCAACGTGCTGTTGATGCCCAGGTGAGCTACATGCTCGAGTTACCATTGCCATGATATTCTTGAGCCACATGTCCTGTTTATCTGGCTCTTATTAAACATTGACCTTGTGCTTATGTTTTAGGTTGAGAAAGACAAGCTGATAATGCAGATTGAATCAATTCGAAATGGTAAATCTTGGGACGAGATCGAGGCTGCTGGAGATCAGGTTAGTGTAGGCAGACCCTTATTGATGTTAATAGACCAATTGGAAAAATAAAGTTCTCTTTTGCTAAGACGTTGGTGGAAATCTTAGGATGCTGATTTGGTCAGAAGTTATGTGTCAAAAATTCAAGATTTGGAAGGGGAGCTGTTACGTATAAAAAACTCCAAACTGAAGCATACTAGATTTGTTGACTGCGTTGACTCGGATGATGAGGGATTCCGTCCCACTGCTGGTCTATTCCCTCCAATTGATGGACTTTCTTCCAACTCAGACACAAAATCCTTGGAAAACGAAGGTGATGTCCCTGAAAACAAAAAAGCTCCTTCATGCTTTTGGTATTTTGGTTAATTTCTAGTTTGTTGTAATGATGTCATCACTATCCCCCCACTAGTGAAGCACTAAATCTCTGTAATTTATTATATCAGTGGTTCATACACCAGTCGTCCATAATCTTTCAAATGATTGTGTTCGACTAACTTAGTTTGTATTTGATTGTTGTGCTTCCTGGGTAATTCATTAAATTCAGCTGACTTTAATGTATATTGGGAGTAATCCTTTCAAACACCAGTCGTCCATAATCTTTCAAATGATTGTGTTCGACTAACTTAGTTTGTATTTGATTGTTGTGCTTCCTGGGTAATTCATTAAATTCAGCTGACTTTAATGTATATGCAGATGAGGCTGAAGATGAGCAAAAGGAACTAGAGCACTCATCTATGCAAGAGATACTTGATAGAGAGTTAAAAGAATTGGATAAGAGACTTGAACAAAAGGAGGTACTTAAATCGTAATCAATGATCTTTTGTTTCTTATTAGTTAAACTTTATGCATCCTACTTAATCTTATTAGTTGTCAACAATCTTGGTGTTTGCTTATTTTCTTCTCTTCCGTTGTCTTCCCTTTTGGTTTGTCAGGTTTTCTTTAATTTTATTTTGCTTTTGATATAGGCTGAAATGAAGCGATTTACAAGTGGTGACCCTTCTGTCCTTAAACAACACTATGAGAAGAAAGTTCATGAGTTGGAACAAGAAAAGAGAGCACTGCAGGTCAGTGTTTCCCCTTAGATCTTATGAGCATGTTCTTTTCATTTTCTAAATGGCAATTCTTCCTTATGATCTTCATTTTTCGATTGTCAATGGGCAGAAAGAGATTTCTGAACTGAGGAACAATCTTGATAGCATCTCATCTAATTCTGATGATGGTACACAAAAGCTAAAGGAAGCATATCTTCAGAAGCTTACTATCCTTGAGGCACAGGTGGGTCTTGATTTGGGCTTGCTACTGACTTGTAGACATAGGTTTAAGTCGGTCCTAAATGGTTATTCTACTTGGCAGGTATCGCAGTTGAAGAAGAAACAGGACGCCCAAGCTCAGCTTTTGAGACAAAAACAAAAGAGTGATGAAGCAGCCAGAAAGCTGCAAGAGGAGATCCACAGGATCAAGACTCAAAAGGTCTAGCATCTGCAACCTGCGACACAAAGATTGTATAGTAGAATTAATACTTACTCTCAAGTCTCAATCTTAATATCAATTCAATCGTCACTTCTGCAGGTTCAGCTCCAACATAAGATCAAACAAGAGTCTGAACAATTTAGGTTATGGAAGGCCTCACGAGAAAAGGAGGTTCTTCAGGTATTACAAAAGTTTCCCCTGAAGATCCTACTTTCATTTTCGGTTTGTCTTTAATTTCCAGACTTCCAGCGTTTGTGACTGTACAAAGTACCAAATTTTTGTGCTAATTTTCATTATCAACAGCTGAAGAAAGAGGGAAGGAGGAACGAGTATGAAATGCACAAGTTGTTGGCCTTGAATCAGCGACAGAAAATGGTATGAGACTAACTTGTGCCTTCAGAGAAATGAAATATATTGTAATAACTAAATGGTAATTATCTCAGGTTCTGCAAAGGAAAACAGAAGAAGCTGCCCTGGCCACCAAGAGACTAAAGGATGTTTTAGATTCTAAAAAGGCTTCCTCACGTGAACTTTCCAGTTAGTGGATTCAAAAGCTTCATGCTTAGTGATAGTTACATTTTTTCTTTAAAAAAATTTGATATATAATTTTGTTGCATCTCATGACAGGTGCTGCAAATGGCGGTGCTGGAATTCAGGTATCATTGGCTGCACGGGTCTCATCTTTTTATGTCTTTTCTTTTCCTTATTGCTTTTTGTACCCACATTGTTCTCTTTATGTGTAGGCTATGATGCATTCGGTTGAACATGAGCTTGAAATTACTCTTCGGGTGCATGCAGTGCGCTCTGAATATGAACGTCAAATGCAAGAGTGAGTGATATTGAAAATTTCATTATTATTGATCGTCCTTCTACTTCTATCCAGGCAAAGCTAATTTTGACGACCACTATTATCTATTCAATCAGGAGGGCTAAAATGGCCCAGGAACTTGCGCGGTTGAAGGAAGAAACTGAGATGCTTAAGAAAACTAATTCCAGGTGGGTATATATTTGAGTTTGTGCTCATAATTATTTTAGCTTCAACACTCGGGTGGCCAGCCAGATGTTGATTTGCGATGAATGCTGTTTCAATGCAGCGATAGCCCGACAACAATGTCACCTGGTGCAAGGAATTCCAGAATATTTGCACTTGAAAACATGCTTGCTTCCTCTTCTAGCACCCTTGTCGCAATGGCATCACAGCTTTCTGAGGCAGAAGAAAGTGAGAAAGGCTTCACCGGCAGGGGACGTTGGAATCAAGTAAAATCTCTTGTTGATGCCAAAAACATGATGAACCATCTGTTCAATCTAGCTTCTTCCTCCAGGTAAATTTTGAAACCTGATGCTATACTGTCGATTCCAAGTTAAGCTATTACTATAAGTCTATAACTGAACCTGTGTTTTTCAGGTGTTCGCTGCGGGACAAAGAAGTTGATTGCAGAGAAAAAGACAGCGAAATAAGAGACCTGAAAGGGAAAATTGTCAACCTCAGCAGTTTAGTTAGGCATCTGGAAAAACAGAAGACAGAACTCATTCACCAAGTCAAGTTGCAGGTTAGCTCACTTTTAAAGTGTAAACATAGCCAGACATTTGCTTGGTATAATTTTAAGTGTATCTAGAAGGCTAAATCACTAGATTCATGCTATGTATCTTGTACTCCAGAATTCAGCTTTAAAGAACATGGAGAATGCAGGACGCAAATATGACTTGCGGAAGCAGGTAACTACTCTCTCTCTCTCTCTCGCTCGCTCTGTCTGTCTCTGTCTCCATGTTCGAATAAACTAACGATTGCCATTTTGTACTTCAGCCTCAGAGGAGCTCCATCTTTATGATGGAGGATATGGACATGTCAGTATCGGATCATTCGGATGTCGAACAAACAGAAGACGATGATGCTGAGTGGGTTCGAACGAACATAAAGAAAACCAAAAGAAGGAAGCACTCCAGGAGTGAAGTTCATCAGTCGAGCTCAGATTCTTCTCCTCCTTCTTCCCCAAGAGACGTAGAATTTAGTAGAACCGAATCGGGGCCGTGTTGCTCCTGCAGCAAGAGGTCTTTATGCAAAACGACCAAGTGCGAGTGTCGGGCAGCTGGAGGCGTATGCGGTGGTTCCTGTGGTTGCTCGGCGAGCAAGTGCAATAACAGAGACCCTGCTGCTTATGCCAATGTGAACTCGGCTGAACCCGGAGAAGCTGACGTGGTTTCGGGTTTTGATGAACAACCCGGTGAAGATAGAACTCGCGAGCTTGCTTCTCATGGCGCCATGCTTCTGGGGAGCGCCATGTCTGGCAATCCTGCTGCTGCTGATGTTGCCCAGGCAAATATTGGTGAAGCAAAAAGGATGCCATTGTCAGACATCGGCAATACAGCGGTATGCTATCTCCGTTTTCAACACATCAGAAATAAACCCTTTTTTAGCATTGATGGTAAATGATGAATGACTGAATGAACCTAAATCAATCCTCTTGCAGGCGAAGTCCAATGCACCAAAGCCAAGCCAGAGGAAGAAATGGCGGAAGTCTGTGATTCAGCTTGTCCCCGTCGCAGCAGCAGCTCCACCACCACCATCAACGCAATCAGAAAGTGATGCAAAAATTGTTCAAACCACTCACCAAACACCAGCCACTGCGAAAGCTCCCATAAAGGTGGAGAGTACTGCTGCTGCTGCCACTACAGCTGCCAATGGGAGGGAGACAGAGAAGCCGCCATTGAAGCTGCCAAGGGCAATGAGAGCCCCTGGATCAAACAGAGGGGGGGTTCTGTTAAGAGAAAGGAATGCTGGTGGTGGTCATGGAGCAGCAGCAGATGATGCATCTGGCCGAGTAAATCCTCCTGCAACGAGAAGTCCTGCTAGGCCAGCGAGAACAACCGACGAGAAGGAGAACTACGGCCGCTGACTTTCGACCAACTTCTGTGTGTGTTTTGATGTGATGGAAATGGCTGTTAGAAGTTCTTCTTGCGAGAGCTGTAGGTGGTGTGTTGGGAATGTAGTAAGACTAAGTGAGAGATGATGGTCGACCACTGGGGGTTGCTTTTGCTGATTTTTTTTAGTGTAAGAACAGGCTAATTATTAATGGCGGCTCATGAGCCCCATTATTTACTAATGAACTAATGCCTACTAAGGTTGTCTTGTGGCTGACTTTTTCTGTTACTTCCTGCCGGTCGTCAACCCTCTTCTATAGTTTTGCTGCTTTGACTGTGCAAGCTATAATTATGATGGAATAGTAGGTATATATTATATGCCCACTTCACGGCTTTCCTTTTTTAGAAAGGATATTTTTTATGTGGACTAGTAAAAGGAATGGAATGGTTACTAATTTTTCTTTGCCTTGGGGATTGAATCAAGACGGGTGATTGACAAATTAAACCGGATGTCATGGCTTGAGATAGGGTCAGTAACCACTGGTTACTGACACGGAAGCTGTAGATCTAGGGGATGGAGCAATCGTGTGGTTGGCTGGACGCAGGGGTGGAGAAGGGCATTTTTGTCCATTTATATATTTTTTTATTTATTTATTCTGCATTTCAATAGTTGGCTTTTCAATGAAAGAGAGAGAATGACATAATCTCTGCAACTCTACTTTCTTCCTTCTCTCTTCCTTTTTCCCAATCTTTTTCCAGATCTTTTCTCTTTTTCTATTCCTTCTCTCTCACAATCTCCTTTTCAAATCTAGATCTGCTCTTTTTCATCTTCATTTTTTCTCTAGCAATCGACGAATAAAAATTGAAGTCACCCTCTTTAATTGCGTTTCTTCTCTTCATCAACTTATTGACTTTAATTTCAATCTTTCTCCTTTTTTAGCGTTTGGTGTTCTTTGGTTACGGATGAAATGAGATGAGACACAAGACAAGTTTTTTTTCACTCCCTCCTTTTGTTTTTTTCTCTTTCTTTTTGGTAATATATATTGGTATTACCACACTATACCATATGGTATTATGTGGTAATGAAATATATATTGGTATTACCACTCTATACCATATGGTATTACAACTCTATACCATATGGTATTGGGTGGTAACGAAATATATATTGATATTACCACACTATACCATATGGTATTGGGTGGTAACAAAATATATATTGGTATTACCACTCTATACCATATGGTATTTGGTGGTAACGAAATATATATTGATATTACCACACTATACCATATGGTATTGGGTGGTAACGAAATATATATTGATATTACCACACTATACCATATGGTATTGGGTGGTAACGAAATATATATTGATATTACCACACTATACCCAGTGGCGGAGCCACATGAGGCCAAGGTGGGTCATTTGCACCACCTTGGCCCAAAAAATATGGAGTAAGTTAATTTATATGATTGTCGATAAATACAAAATTTATATATGATTGTAGATAATTTTACGTAAAGTAATGTTTTATGATCTCTATTTAACTTTTAGTTTATATATTCGATAAGAGATTTTAGTATATACAAAAACTCGAAAAGTAATGTTATTACTTAGACCTGTTTGTTGCTATCGGTTGTCATTCAAGTATTGAAAGAGTACTTATGCAATTAGCAAAGTAAAGAAATACTTCATAATAAGATGAGTTGTGTAATCATGAACGATTTTTCGTTGTGATATCTTAACATCTCTCATAATTTGTTTGATGAATATATTTTAGAAAATTTTCAAAACATGAACACATTCAACAACATACGTTATATATATCTTTTTCATATTTGACCCACCTTAGATAAATTTCTGGCTACGCCACTAACTATACCATATGGTATTGGGTGGTAACGAAATATATATGGTATTACCACTCTATACCATATGGTATTTGGTGGTAGCGAAATATATATTGATATTACCACACTATACCATATGGTATTGGTGGTAACGAAATATATATTCATGTGGCAAAAAATTTCATACCATATGGTATGCTCTTATTTAATACCAGTCAATACCATATGGTATAGACTGGTAATAACTGACAAATTTTTTTTGTGTCCAAAAAATATCAAAGTGGATATCATTTTGAAGAGCACAATTAATCTGATCTAACTGTGCAAAAAAAATTAAATTTCGACTTAAAACGAGCTAGAAATCGTCCGTTAAAGATTAAGAGAAGGAAAATTAAATGTTTTGCAAAGAGAGAGAATGAGGCGCTGATGTGGTCTGGTCAAAAGTCAGGGTTCGCAATAAATAGGGGCAGGGACAATTTTACTGTACTGCCCTTTTCACATTTAATTTAAATAAAAAAGTGACTGACACGTGGGGATCAGGGAAGTGGTTACTAATGGGTTACTGACCCGATCTGGACCCGGATGTCATACTGAATTAGTATACGATAGGATATCTTATGTTACGAGGGCAGCCTAGTTATTCTGCTAACTTGAAAATTCGTTAGTATATACTAACTAATATCCAAGTCTGCGGAGTATCTAGATAGCACAAACTAGTATTCAAAACATCACAAACTAGTATCCAGATAGCAGATACCAACTAATATCCACAATCAACCAACTAGTATTTAATATGGATACTCTTATGTGTTATCTTGATATTCTTATGTGTTATTTGGATACTAATTATGTGCTGTTTGGATACTATTATGTGTTGTTTAGATATTAGTTTGTAAATTTGGGATAATATTTTATTCATGATGGATATCAGTTAGCAAACTTTGAATACTAGTATGTGCTCTCTAGATACTTTAGTACTTGGATATTAGTTCATGTATTTTGGATATCAGTTAGTATCTGCTAACGAATCTTCAAGTTAGCATATTAACTTGGAAAAAATCCCACTGTATACATGTTCTTAAAAAAATATTCCAAAACTACACATGTTTGGCATTCACCGTTTTTGACAAACGCAGTGAAGACTATCACCGCGTTTGACAAACACAGTGAATATTTCACCGTTTAAAAAAAAATGGTGATGTATTCACCGTTCTTCTCTAAAACGGTGAACAACGAGCGAGTCAATCACCGTTTTATTGAAACACGGTGTAAGTTAAACCATTTCTATAGGCCACGATGAAGTGACGCGGGTCGTTGACGTGGACAAACCCGGTGTATTCACCGCATTAGACAAACACGGTGAATACCCCGTGTTTGTTTGCGTCAGCGATCCGCGTCGCTTTTGCTTTCACCGTGGCCGTCAGATGCGGTGAGGTGCGGATCGTGGTTTTCTTCCCAGATCTGACGCCTCATAGCAAGACAAGTCGCCCCTTTCACCGTCTTCGATAAATAGCAAGACAAACACGGTGAATACCCCGTGTTTGTTTGCGTCAGCGATCCGCGTCGCTTTTGCTTTCACCGTGGCCGTCAGATGCGGTGAGGTGCGGATCGTGGTTTCTTCCCAGATCTGACGCCTCATAGCAAGACACGTTGCCCCTTTCACCGCCTCATAGCAAGACACGTCAGATGCGGTGAGGTGCGGATCGTGGTTTTCTTCCCAGATCGGCAGAACCCTTCCCCCCACTATAAATAGAACCCTTCCCCCCACTTACAAATCACACCACAACAATTACAATTCTTTCTCCCTCAATTTATCCGCTCTAGTCTCGTTCTAAGTATGCTCTGTGGTTGCGGCTAAGTCCGATCTTCCACATCATAAAGAATTGCTAGAGTTTGACCCTAAAGCCCCCGTCCCGCTAAGCTCCCGTCCCTTACAAACCCGAACCCGTCGAACCTCTGTCCGGCTTCTGCCATAAAATGGACGAAGAGGCTCTTTGTGTAGGTTTTTGGTTTTTTTATTTGTATTTTTATTTTTAATCAAAACAATTTGATTTTGTGATTTTTTTTTATCAAAACAATCTCTGATTACATTACTTTTTTTAAAGATGGGTGCCGAGATATACGATCCTCGATTGTATATCCATTATGAGCCAAGAGATACGAGACTCTTAACTGATCATGAAGCTCATCGCTCCCGTGCTATTTGGGATAAAAATCCGGTAATTTGATGATTTATTTGCTTTATTTTATTATTTTCTAAGGTTTTATTTTGCTTTATTTAAACTAGCAAATTGATGTTTTTCCTATTTTTTTTAGGAATCACTTATTCCCGTCGTTCATAAAGGGACCACAAACTTGCCCGCTTGGCATCCACGGTTGGCACCCTATATAGAGAGGACTGGGTTGGGTATGTTGCGTCATTTCATGCGGATCGAAATCGACAACGATATGCTTACGGCAATGGCGGAGCGATGGCGTCCCAAAACCCATACGTTCCACCTTCCGGAGGGGGAAATGACGATCACCCTCTAATACGACCCTGGAGGGTGTATTTTTATCAAAGTAACGCAACAACGACTCAATCGAAGAATCGATTGAGCTCGAATCAAGAACGAAGCGCTCTTAATACGAACTTGGGATAAAACGGAACCAATGGACAATTCCACACCTGGGGAAAGCTCGTATGGTATAAAAGGGTAGCTGCTCGACCACGATTTAAGAGGATATTCAATCGATACAAAGCTCACAAGCTTGGACTCCACCAAACCCAAAACAAGTCGCAACTTGCACAAACTAAACGGTTTCGATTTCTATTCAACAAAGTCTGAATTTTATAACGAAATAGAACAATATTTAAAGGCAAATAAAGCCTAATACAATCCTAATATAACTAGGGAACAATTAATGTAAAATTCTACACTAAAAAGGACACAAAAATTCGGGTTTAAACTCCCTTTCTTGAAGCACAAGCAAGCTGCCAGCAAACAGTCAAAGGCAGTTTTCGTACTGACTTCGCGCCTTTTGTTCAAGGCCTTCCAGAACTCCAATCTTTCATCCAATTCCTTCCCTTGGTAGATAAACATTCCTACTTTCATGTTGTATAAGCCTTTTGACTTGAATCCTATCCATTCTCATTGAATTGAGCTCCAAAGTAGGCTTCACAATACAGTTTTCTGCCTTAGCCATTTTCTGACAGTTTTCCAGTTTTGAGGTAGCAACTTGGAGGCCTTGGAAAACAACCTTAATGACATCATCTGGATCCACAAAGCATACCATTGGAAAGATGGAAACTTGATCTACAAAACAAACCCTTAAAAATGAATTTCCACCAAGCCATTTGAGAGAACCATGCCTCCAAAGTATGTACCCTGAACATGGATTTTGACTTAGCCAAATTCTGACCTTCTTCTTCCCAACTTCGTTAGC